CGTGGAAAAGGCTCGACCACCACAAGTACTAAAACAAGAACGCCTTTACCTCCAGCTCAACATGGTCGAAAGTAGTTTTTTGTGTGTGTTTTTTTGTTGTTTTTTTTTTTGGGGGGGGGGGGGTTGTTGTGGGTTTTTTTCTTTTTTGCAGTCGTTTGTTTGCATTTTGTTTGTTTTTTGTTTGTTGCTTTATTCTGCTTTTTTTAGTTTTGCTCTTTTGGCAAGTGTTGACTGCGCTCGCAACTACAAAATGTCATAAGCTGTTAGATCTTAAGATCAGGGGTGTGGCTGAAAGACAGCAGTGAGAAGGGGCCAATGAGTAGCAGTAGAAAGGCTGCAGAAACAGTCAGGGGCCCAAAGGAGGGGCCCAGAGCAAAAGGGGTCGGGGTGGGGGCAGGAAGAGGAGACGAAGGCAGACGACATAACATGGTTAGATGTGGAAAGGAGGTGAAAGGAGACAAATTTAGAGATGGAAATGTTCAGTCGCTTCCAGGTTTCGAAACCGGACCTGTTGAATGAGAGGCAAACATCGAACCTCCGGACCACGAGAACACCCGATGGTGGTAGTTGTGCTGCCGAGACACACTCAGACAGAGAGAGAGAAAAACACACACACACACACACACACACACACACACACACACACACACACACACACACACACACACACACACAGCGAAATACAGACAGACAGACAGACAGACAGACAGACAGACAGACAGACAGACAGACAGACAGACAGACAGACAGACAGACAGACAGACAGACAGACAGACAGACAGACACAAAGAGAAAGAGGGGGGCAGAGAGAAGAGAAGAGAAGAGGGAGGGAGAGAGAGAGAGAGAGAGAGAGAGAGAGAGAGAGAGAGAGAGAGAGAGAGAGAGAGAGAGAGATGACGGTGGACAGAGAGAGAAAGACACAAAGAGAAAAAGAGAGAAGGATAGAGAGAGAAAGGCAGAGAGAGAAAGCAGCGGAGAATAGGCAGGAGAATAGGCAGGAGAGACCGAGAGTTCACACGTAATAATAATATTATGTGGAACACTTGGATAAAGGCTCCAGGTTCCATAAGTCTTTGTAAAGTATTCTCTCAAAAGCTATTTCCTCAGTCATTTCCCTTCATCTCCAGCCCTTGCTCCACGAGTCTCATTAACCAATCCTTTGACCTAAAAGTGTTGTTTTTTTTAATAACACAACATCACCTCACAAGTAATATGTTTAAAACTTAAAAGAGACAAAATACAGCTGATTTTGGAGGTACAACACTCAGTCACAATACTAGAGGAGTCCTCTTTTATGAAGTAGGTAACAGCAATCCGAAATAACTGCTTGAGTACGGGAAACAATTACCTTAAAAATTCTAGTTAAACAACAGTAAGCAGAAAAGCCGCTTTAATAAGTGAAAGGCAAACCTAGCAAAACTTTTAAACGTCGAAGTATTAGGAAATGTTTCAAACCTTTGTAAGAACTTCGAAAGCACAGGTTTCAAAATGAACAAAATGACAGATAGAAAATATTCGAAGCAAAACCATAATATAATATATATAAATTGTTAGTACACGGACTATATAAACGAATCGAGATACTTGATAAGTATAAGACAGTCATTTAAGGTGGTCCCTTGTCTCTTCTACTCACGTCTCGAGCTCGCACCATGGCGGCATTCTGCTAGTTCATAAAATTGGTGGTAATTTAAACATATCAATCATCAGAATAACTGGACTTGAAGGTCACAGAATGATAACAGCCAAAGATTGTGACTTGTTTGTTACTATAATAAATTAAATACGTAGCGAAAAATGCCAGGCTCGAACTTATGACACCTTGGAATTATCTAATACTGAATACATGTAAAATAATTATCAAATAATAAGCACGCATGCATCTTTGATCGAATCGTTGATCTTAAACGGTGATAACTATAACCATACATTGATAATAATAGGAAAGAGGATAGGAATGTATATTGATCTGGCAAGATATTTTAAAAATCTCAAGGTAAGACAGGTATGTAGGGTAGGCATCAAATAATAACGTACTAATGACAGGGAGATATCGAATAATGACTGGAAGCAAAGATAGTACATAAAGACTCTTTGCTGGAAGGAAGGACGGAAGGAAGGTATTGATTATGGACCTTGCAGGCTAGCATCAAAGATAGTGAATCTTTGCTAGCATCTAGCATCAAACATAAAGGGACATGGAAGTATCGAATAATTACAGCTGGGCAGGTATAGAATACACCAGCCCACGGAATTATGGAATAATTACCTCGCAGAGGAAGAATCGACTTTAATCGTGACGCAGATTTATCAACAATATCGTGAGATACCGAATAGACTGGGCCAAGTAGGTATCCAGAAATGACTCCCGATAATGTACTTAACGGGCAAGGGTCTTATCGAATAATAATGAAAGGTCACGGAGGTATCGAGTATTGTACGGCATGACAGGTATGGAATAATGAAACATAATGAAATTGACCGGGTTAGGGTTAGGGTTAGGGCACAGAATTCTACACTTAGTGTAGAATTCTGTGGGTTAGGGTTGGTTTTAGAACTCCTCAACCTATTGTAATGATACTGGAGTTATTACGTCCTATTTGGCATTTCATGTTTGGCCATAAGGCTTGGAAAAAGACCTGGCAGGGTCAGAGAATAAAGATGGCAGCTCCCATGTGGAAGCTGAATACTGAATCCCCTGACTGGTTGTTAAGTGCATACATTCCTGAGTTTCTGACTGAATGAATGGAAAACTCGCCGCCAGACAAAACGTGGTGTCAGAAGTCAAACAGAACTGTACCTCCCTTTTACGCCTAGAAGTGTAAACCTATGATACTGTGGCATCCAGTAGTATACTATACTGGGTATTTCTGAACCTTTGTCTTTGTTTTGTTTTATCATTCCTCACTAACAGTTAAACCTAGATTTAGATCTCTCTCTCCCTCTCTCTTTCTCTCCTTTAGCGCATTGTTTAGTGTTTGTGCACACTTTGCTCTTTCTCTCTCCATCCCTCCATCTCTCTCTCTTCCTCTCTCTCTCTCTCTCTCCCTCCATCTGTCTCTTCCTCTCTCTCCCTCTCTGTTTCTCTCCTTTAGCGCATTTTTAGTGTTTGTGCACACTTTGCTCTCTCTCTCTCTCTCTGTCTCTCTCTCTGTCCTCTCTCTCTGTCTCTCTCTCTCTCTCTCTCCCTCCGTCTGTCTCTCTTCCTCTCCCTCCATCTGTCTCTCTCTCTCACACACACACAGACTCTCTCTCCCTCTCTCTTTCTCTCCGTTAGCGCATTTTTAGTGTTTGTGCACAATTTGCTCTTTCTCTGTCTCTCCCTCCATAATCTCTCTCTCTCTCCCCCCCTCTCTCTCTCTCTCTCCCTCCCTCCATCTCTCTCTTCCTCTCATTCTCTCCCTCCATCTGTCTCTCTCCCTCTCCCTCCCTCTCTCTCTCCCTCCCTCTCTCTCTCTCCCTCTTTCTTTTTCTCCTTTAGGCTAAAGCGCATTATTGTTTAGTTTAGTGTTTGTGCACACTTTGCTCTTTCTCTCTCTCTCCTTCCCTCTCTCACTCTCCCTCCCTCCATCTCTCTCTCTCCCTCTCTCTCTCTTCCTCTCTCTCTCTCTCTCCCTCTCTCTCACTCACTCTCTCTCCCTCTCGCTTTCTCTCCTTTAGCGCATTGTTTAGTGTGTTGGTGCACACTTTGCTCTTTCTCTCTCCCGCTCTCTCTCTCTCTCTCTCTTTCTCTCTCTCTCTCTCTCCCCCTTC